TTGCTCTCAGTGCAAAGATGAAAACGTTGTGCCAGAGAAGAAAGTTTTGGAAGTCCACGTAGATAATGGTATGCAGAATGGACAGCAGATTACATTCGACGGAGAAGCTGATGAAGCTGTGAATACATCTTTAATATTTAAAGAAAGGAAAGAGATTCATGAATGTATTCAGCCTATGTAATTGATTAGAAGACTTGGGATTTAATTTCATGTTTCTGTAATGTGAACAATCTTCTTTGAATGTCTGTATTTATTTTTCTACATTTATCAATGACAGAGAAATTTCTATGGTGATGCTTTTCGAATGTCTGTATTAGTTTGGTTGCTGCTTTTGTTCGAATAGTCTAGATGATGTTGGTTAGTATGTGGGGTTAAACTTTGCAACTTCTATACAAGGCCCTAAGAAAATCCAGAATACTGGTCAATGATAACCACTAACTTCATTATAGCCAATAGACATGGATTCACCTTTTTCTATATCTGTGTGATTTTGTATAACTTCAGGGTGTTATCCTTAAAGACTAAAAATGTTGAATGTTTCATTGTTATTAATTCTTTTAGCACCCAGTGCAGCTCTTTTCCCATTGGAACCAGCAGAGGCATTTAGCTGTGCCAATATCCAAGTGTAAATGAATATTTGCTTCTTGCTCCTCAATATCAATCAAGTTTCAAAGCCTTTTTGTAACTGATTTCGAGACAAGAACACAGAAATTACAGCTTCAACATAAACTGATAAACAAAAGCCAGCATATAAAACACCATTTGCCTTTTTCAAATCATAATCTGTACATTCAAAAGCCAGCATTAAACCAGCCAATACCATTACAAAAACCAGCATTAAACCTTCTACAACGACCCAAAAAAAAAACTAGATAATCAGGTCCCTATCTACATTACCTAAACCAGCATTAACACAAGCACAAAAACATATCAAAAACGCTGCCTTCACAGTTTTCCCGTCCCAGCATGTCCAGTAGCATCCATGTCTTGAAGTTGGATTTGTTCAGTCAAGGATGCTCCACTGTCAAATGTCAGGGACTGAAGCAGCTGGCCCGTCTCTCATAACAACATTTTGAGCTTACTGCTGGCAAGGAGTGTGCATGAATTGAAATTTGTGAACTTCATCATTTGCTTGGCTCGAACCAGCTCCATTCCCTTGGTCCGGAACTAGTTTATATCCCTCTGTTACATTCTTCTCGAACAGCCTATCACCTTCACTCAGGGTCATCATTCGTATCTGTCAACAACAGTTTTGTATGTACAAATTGTTCTAGCCGTTTTAAAAGCAGAAGTTAAATGCATACAGAAATTCTCTAACTTTCCATTAATTCAATCAAATATGCCTACATAATCCAAATTCCATTACATTAATATGCCTACAGCATACAAACTCTGTACATTTCAGAGATGTAAACATTTCTTAGAAAAAATCAATCACATAATAACGGCATGAAGCTGTTTTTTTTTACAGTGAAAATCAAGAAATCCAAACAGAAATTTCATTTATTTAGGTTGAACAGAAATCTCTTTCCTTTCTTTAAATATT